CGGGCCTACGCCCCACCCGGAGCCGCTCGGCACCTGCAGAGGGGCCGCCGTCCCCTCCGAAGCCCGAGCGCCTCTTACCTTCCCTTCTAGGCGGCCTTGGGTCAGCCCTGAGCTCACAGCCACACCCCAGCGGGCGGCCTGGGGTACCTTCACCCCAAGAGGAGGACAGTGCGTACCCCGCGGGAGCCCGAAAGGAGGAGTGTGTGCCGGGGCCTGGCACCCGGCCTGCTGGATGGAGGGCCGCCGGAACCACGGCCCTCAAACTTCGTCCTTCCAACTTTATAAAACTGTGTGCATTTTATAACTTATTACTTTTTAAAAAAACAACAACCTGTTGATCATCGATATCGTCAATGATACAGATGGCCAACAGGTTTTTTTAAAAAGAAAGTAATAAATGAATGAAACCGTCACTAAAGTGATGTGATTATGGTTTTGTCGAACACCACACCGAAGTTTAAAGCCAAAAATCACAGGAACCACCGATGAAACCTGGGTATTTTCTAAACGTATTGGTTGCTCTATTTTATTCATATCTTCAAAGAAATATTTTCTCTAACTCATTCTCCTACCTTTGTTTTATACTTCTTTAATTTCAACTTTCTTCCATATTCTGTTGTTTCTTATCATTAGTTTAACAGTTTACTGAATTAAATACATAATTTGTTTATTTTCAGTGGTTTTTGGTAATAAAGATATTAATGGCCCCAGTATAGCTTCCGCTGTATCCATTTGGGTTTTATATGGTGTTCTCTAAAAATGTTCTAGATAATCTGTACTTTCCAAGTTTGCCGAAGTGGCCGTACCACTTTATACTCCAGCAGCCATGTCTGAGAGTGGCGGTTGCTTCGTACCCTGACAACACTTGGGATTGTCAGCTTTTTGCATTTAGCCTTTCTGGTGGGTATGCAGTGACATCTCCGTATGATATTATTTTGCATGTCCTTGTTGTGTAGTGGTGTTGAACCTTTTCATGTGCTGATTGACCACTTGAATATCTTGTTCTGTGAAGTGCCTGTTCACAGACATACCTCTGAGAGTTAGTCCGTTTTATAAATTGAGTTTTTTGATGTATAGGAGTTCTTTATGTCTGGATAGGAGTTATTTGCCAGATATGTATATTTAGAATATCTTCTTCCAGTCATGGCTTTCCTTTTCACCTTAATATCTTTAGATGAGTGGAAATTTTTTATTTTGTTGACATTCAACTTGTGAATATTTTTATTTTATGGTTGTTTTTTGTGTCATGTGTTTTTTTAAAAATCTTTGCCTACCTCAAAGGTCATGAAGGTTTTTTTCCTATCTTTGAGAAGCTTTATAGTTTTAGCTTTCATACTTAAGTCTATGATCCATCTCAAATTAATGTTTGCATATGGTGTGAGGTAGAGAGACCAGTTTCTTTTTTTTCCACATAGATACCCAGTTATCTAAGTCTCATTCCTCTATTCTTTTCCATTGATCTACTTACCTACCCTTAAACCAAGTCCATTCTGTATAATTACTTGCTTAGTCATGAAATCAGAGTAAGTCCTCCAGATTTGTTCTTCAAGATTATCTTGGTCATTCTAAGTCCTGTGCATGTCCATATAAAGTATAGAATCAGCTATTAATTTATATAAAACAGCCGACTTGATTCTGTATGCTATCAACCACACTCCTATGGAAATCCCTCAATTCCTCCAATTTAATATTTCTAACTTCATTCCTTTAATTTTTGTTTTTGCCATACCAATAGCTGTTTGGGGTTTTTTTTTTTAGGAAATGTTTTACATTTAAATAGAGATTACACCCTAGCTGGTTTGGCCCAGTGGTTAGAGTGTCGGCCCGAGGACTGAAGGGTCCCAGGTTCGATTCCTGCTAAGGGCACATACCTCAGTTGCAGGCTCAGTCCCTGGCCCCAGATGGAGTGTGTGCAGGAGGCCACCAATCTATGTGTCTCTCTCACATCAATGTTTCTCTCTCTCTCCCTTCACTCTCTCTGAAAAGCAATGGGAAAAAATATCCTCAGGTGAGGATTTAAATTAATTAATAATAATAAAAAAGAGTTCCAAAGAAGAGAAAAAAAATTAAAAACAACAAAAATAAAACACATTTTAAAAAAGAAAAAAGAGAGTTCCGAGAAATGTAGTAGGATTTGCAGCAGTTATTTCTGAGATCTATGAGATTTGAAGCATAAGT